GACAGCACCAACTTTCCTTGCGTCACCTTTACTGTGGGGTTTCCACCTGTCTCTCGCCAACTCAACGTGTCCAATCAACTGTGCAACTTGTTTAAGTGATTTTCCATGGACGTTGTTAAAGTAGAATGTTTACTATAAATTCAGGTCCTGTGCAAATATTTTCCTCTGGAGAACAACCTCATTCATGTTATTAATGTTTATTAATTATACTGTCTCTCAAAGCTCTTATTTTCTTACTATTTCCTTATTTAGTGAAATAGCAATATTGGATAACAGAATATCTCTCTTCCTTTTGGAAATCATTAGTCCAATTTAGTGGGTGTGTCCCTGCACCTTTTTCTTTTTCTTTCTTTCCTTTTTTTTTTTTTTTTTTTTTTTTTTTTTTTTTTTGGTATGTTCTGGAAGCATCTGGATTTGTTCCTTAGCAACACTTTTTAGTTTGCCATTTGCTTTTATTCAGCTCCCCAAAGAGTGCTTTTAAAGTTGTAGTAAGGTTGGTCATTTCAGAGAAGAAGCTTTTATTTTTCCTCTTGAATGAAGGGTGAGATCATGCCCAGATATCACAGCCTGACAGGAACATTATTCAGCATATTAAAAACTGTCCATGAAACAATGAAATACTTTTAAACTGAGATAATAGGTGAATTACTGGCAAGAATACTGATAACTTTGTCTGTTGTGCTTGGGAAGGGCACAAGAGGAAAAGGAAAACTAATTACTTAATGTTCTGCATAGAAAATTAATTTTGACTAAACGAAAGCTTAGACATTTATCTGAGCCAAAGGAACTTCTCCCCTTGTTGTTATATATCTAGCACCTAGCTTTGCCTTGACACACAGAGGGCAGTTTAGTTATCCAGCACATCACTCAGTGGTGCTTAGATATCCCTGCATACTGGTAAATACCAAATCAACAGCACAAATTTTACACGTAGTGAGAGCAAATCACTTGAGAGTTGCCCCCTTTGGATAAAATAGGTACCACAAGCTATTTATCACCTATACAAATAGTGAAAGTCCTTTCAAATAAAGGTCAATATGTTGATGCCTGTCTCTGTACTTTGCAGTTCCACTCTTCATCAAAAAAGGAGAGTTTCAAGGTGAGCTTCAACGGTGAGTTTTTCCACAGCATGTTCAGACAATGGTAAACCTCACTATCTTAAGTTAATTTATAGTGAAATAAAATAGAGCAGAACAAAGAGTGCTACATTGGAAAAATTGTGCCAGCAGAAGTCTGTTCACCCATTAACTTCTCTGGAAAGGTCCTGAGACATACAATGGGCTGCTCATTAAACAGAGACTCTGTGCTTCCTCACTGCCCAGAGTCCCCAAAATATATGGTGTTGTCTTTGCTCCCTGGCACTCCTCCAAGTTTAATGGGTGACTGATCAGTGTATCTATAAATAAATATATTCCAGGAAAAAAAAGTTTAATTTCTGTATGCAGGCTTCAGCACATTTCGTGACCTAAACTATTTCTGTCCAAATAAGTGCATTACCAAAACCCTTCAATAAACAGTCTCTTTGGCTAGACCCTTGTCCTAATCTACTCCCCTTCTGCTGTTTAACCAGAACAAAAGGCACTTCACATTTCTGAGGAGAGATACTAAGTTTTCTGCCTACCACAACTCTTTGTGTAGCTGCTTTAGACATGGTTTCTGGCTGCAGTGTGGAAATTCAGGCAGTGAACTCCAGCATGGCAAGGAGCAGCTATTATTGTGTGCAATGTAAAATGGCTGTTTGGCATCACTCTTTTGCTCCAACACACAGCATAGAGAAATGCAACTGGAATTTCAACACACTTGAGTATCTATTTCTTGAATCAAACTGAAATTCAGAAAGTTGTAAGGCTGATACAAATATTCCTTCTTTAGACACATTCTTGTGTATGAACAGAAAATCTAAAGATCCTTCAGGAACTTTTAATCTACAGGGAATTCAGGATGAAACTGTCTTGGCAGGCCTTTGACAACACCTAGCTTGTTTCTTCTGTTGAATCTCTGATGTTCATACTCACAAGTCTCAGCCTTGCCCCCATGACAGCTATTAATATGTTCAGCATTGGGAACAATAATAGCAGAAGAAGGGCTAAAACGGAGTTGTTAACAGCCAGATCTGTAACATATGTTACCTATTGGGTGGTCCTGTGATAAGTACCAGCCCTGCCAAAGAGAGATAAGGTGTATCATACCATCATCTGACACAGAGCAGCACAGACACAGATAGTCCAGTGTCAATGCTGATCACTCACCCAGAAGATAAGCAAAATGGAACAGGGAGACAAACAGGATGGATACCTAGGATTATCCTTTTGTTCTGCCCCTACCACACATATTCACCTTTATCAGCTTTCCAGAGTTTGCTCTTGCACTTCAGTGGAATAAAAATTGCAACTCCTCTCACTCTAACAGAATTCTCTGTCTCTGAGATGTCTCATTCAAAATTATTTAATGGTGCAGTCTGGTTTTTGCTCCCACTAAAGACCTGGGCTTTCATATTCTGCAGGAGGACACTTGGTGGCACTCATTCAACATAGTTTCTATTTCCTATATCACAGATTCTCTGGGTTAACCTAAAAACATAGAAAAAATTCCCCTTAGTAAGTGTATCCTATGAACTCTGGAACTTAGACTAACTTTTGCAGTCATTGCTTACTTTTCAACTTAATCATTAATGATGTAAAGAAATACTCAATTTTTCGTTAAAAAAACCCCAAAGATCACATTGTGATAGTAACTGATAACTAAATTTGAGCTGGTTCTGCCTACCAATTACTTCGCAGAATTTTCATGTTTTTGCTTTCATGGATACTCAAAATTTACTCTCTGTGTAAAGTGCAAATTCTTTGTCCTTTAACATAACTGCAACTTGCGTACAGTTCTTTGAAAACAATCAAGAGAAACAAATCCTGACTAAACCATCTGGTAACCAGGATAATTACTCAAAGACAGCTGCAAAAGAGGTAGAGAGTTTACTGGCAGTACCCTGTAGTCCTTCTAATTTATACTTTTGAGTGACAGCCATTTTCAACCCAATGTTCTTACTGTGTTTTTAGAAAGACATAGGGGAACCAGCAGCACTCTTCATTTAGGTGAACAAATACTTGTAATCCCTCTATAAAATCCAGCTTTTCCAGGAACTACCCCAGTAGTTCCTCATGAACACTACTCTAAAGTGCTGCCAAGGACCACAGCCTTATCACACACACCTGGCAGTTATTCTTATCAAGGCTGCTGAAAGATCTGACAGTCAGGAGGGGATTTATTTATTTATTACCCTTAAGAGCGGGAGAGTATGACATTAACTGAGGATAATCCAACACCATTAGATAGCCCAAAGCTTGACTGAAGGTGCCTCCTTTGTGGGAGGGGGAAGATCATTCCCAGATGTCCCTACAACTCTCCATTTACCACACTCAAAATAAAACTTCTGCGAAACAGATTACAAATAGGTCAGTGGCCACTCAGTAGAAATGTGACAAAGTAATGGAGCATAGCTAAGCACATTCTCAAAACACAGATAATGCTCTCACCAACAGTATAAGTGGCCTTCCTCTAGAACAGAAACAAGATTTGTTGCCCATCCCCACTATCCTTCAACAACAGCCAAAACAGTGACCCACAGCTGTTACTCCACGGTCACAGTGACCACAGAGTTTGTTTACTCCATGGACGCCCATTGGTCCTGAACCTATGAAATACATGCTGCTAGGAAACTCCTTTCCCAGCAGTTTTACTTCTGTTCCAAGTTTCACCAGCTGCACCAGGGAAACTTCAGTTTTTTGGGACAAAGTGACCATGCCATTATCTTCATGTACTTGAATGCAATTTGTTTGTATACTCAGTAGTGTTTACATACTTGAGGAAACACTTTGACAAGTTCCACAGTTTTCTAGTAATCTCAACTAAAACCCAGGAGACACTTTTCAATGCACACAAACATTTTTACATGTTAGAAGGTGCGCATCCAATGCAATTTTTTTTTTTTTTTAATTTCAGAACATTTTCCTTCTGGCCTTTCTAGAAAGAGTATTATATTTTAAAATGTGAGAATATTATCTTCCCCCTTCCCAGACTTTTGTGCACTAAAGGGCTTTTCCTCTAATATTGTTCTAAAAAGAGCAAAAGACAAATCCATTGTTTTAGCAAAAACACTGAGAGGCAAAGCGCAATCCAAAAGTGAGTTACAATTAATCACCTGAATATCATACTGAGCAACTATTTGACCACATTAAGCGTATGAAATACAAAGCACCTACAATGTGCTCTTCACACCAAGCCAGTATTCAGCGTATGCTGTGTCAGACATGTTTTGTCACCATAATCACACAGCCTTTCCCACACCAGGTGCCAGAGCATGAGCCACAAAGGGCAGAGCCTCTCCAAAACGCTTTGATGTCCTGTCCCTTGCAGGAAGGTGGGGCTGCATTGTACAGAAATGCAAACAGCGCCATTTCTGTGAATTCTAGGTACTTCATTGTATTACAATTATTATTTGTTTTGTTAAAGGTTCGTTAATGGCAGAAACGGGAGAATCACAGGGAGCCGAGTTGACACCAGTCCTGGGGATGCTCGGGGCAGTGTGCGAGCAGACAGAAGCGGCGGCTCAGCCCGGTGCGGCTAGTCCGTGTCCGCACACCGCCCAGCGGGTGGTGCTGCGGGCAAAGGCTGCTCGCAGGCCCAGCCCGACGAGCCCCGATCCGCGGCCGCCGCATCCCCGCGGCCGCCGCATCCCCGCGGCCGCCGCATCCCCGCGGCCGCCGCATCCCCGCGGCCGCCGCATCCCCGCGGCCGCCGCATCCCCGCGGCCGCCGCATCCCCGCGGCCGCCGCATCCCCGCGGCCCCGGCTCCGAGCCCCGGGGCCGGCCGGGACCGGGGAGCCGCAGCTGCGGCTGCTGCGCTTCCAAGGGTTAAAAGCCGTCGAGCCCCGCGCGTAGGAGGGGTCGGGGCAGTGAGGAGAGAAATGCAGAAAAAGTAGGTCAGCTGCGCCCAGCGGCGGAGCGGAACGGGACGGGGCAGGGGGAGCAGGGGGCTCTCCTTTGCCGGGGTCTGCCGGCGCTCCAGCCCTGACTCCAGGCGCCTGCAGACAATTTGCTCCCGGCCATTAGCAGGTACTCATAGTATTTACAGCACGATAGCTCTACCGCTTGGTACACATTTGTATTTTGGTAAATACACAGACACATTCAAGGAATTTCGGAGGGGGAGGGGAAAAAAGAGGGGGAGGGGGGAATAGAAGGGGAGGGGAAGGGCGCTGGAAATTAAAAGTGAAGCACAATTTGAAACTCTGCCTACACCACAGCTTTTATAATCAGCTTGTGACATGCTTGGCACTAAACACTGTTTATGTCCACAATTAATGCAGTTAATACTAGGTTAGTAACTGTGGCAGCCAGCCACGTGCATCGCCTGGCACATGGGTGCCTGCTCCCAGCCGAGGAGGAGGCAGGCTTTGCTCTCCAGCGCGCACAGCCAGGCCAGTTCAAGCACATCTGGAGCCAGTTTAACTGGGGCCTCTCTCCAATGCAGTACTTAGCATTGCCAGTGTATTCTTTCACACAAAACGCTATAAAAAGGAGAGAAGTAATTAAGACAAAAATGGGAGTAAGAGAAGATCAAAAAAATAAAGGAGTGCAAGGCTCTTTCCAGTGGAAGTCACCATGTCGCACTGGGCTTCACAGCCTGCCTGAACAAGACCCAGCATCAGGGAGCCCCTAACGGGGCCTCCAGAACCAGTTTGACCAGTTTCTGTTTCTCCTATCTCTCCATGCAGCTGAGCATCTCAGGGAGAAACACACCTGTAGCTGCTGCTAGGCATCTGTTGTCTCCACCTGAGGAGGGGCCGTGGCAAGGTTGCTCTTGATAGAAGGTGCTTCACATAAGGACTGTACACCTACCGGTCATAAGCATGCAATCCCAAGTAAATTTTTCCGAAAGAGTCTTTCTTAAGACAGAATCACCATGTTGCAATGGGAAGATTTTATGAGCTGGTTGCAAAAATTCATTCGTACTTTTTGGGTGGGAGGTGAATTTTGAAACTGAATTTTTACAAAGCTCAAAAGCTCTAGCAAGACTTCTGCATAATATTCAGGTCTTCCTTGGGAAATCCACTATGTTCAAACATTGCTTCTGTGTCAAGGCATACACCTACGGACCTGCTCACGAATACACCAGGCACACCAGTAACATGACCTGTTTTTCTTTTGTGGCCACTTACAACTCCAGTGAGAGCAGAATATACACACGAATCGGTCACGCATTAAGTAACGTCACTGTCATCTGCCACGTGTTGGTTCGCTTATCTGTTCCCCAAGGAGAGGAGTGTTTGTTTTGAGGTTTTACATGCCTCTAAACATTTATTCCAGTAATGTCAAGGTCAAAGAAAGGTGCTCTTCACTTGCAGTCAGAGCTGGTGTAATCTGAGATAAGGTCCCAGAGGAATGGAAGCCTACTTCACACTCACGGCTTGGCCATCGAAAACAAATGCATTCTGCACAGACACACATCACCCTCCTGGAGGGCTACCTCATGTTAGAGGAACATCTCTGTCAACCATCATGATATAACCCAGTTATATCATAACTTCATATAGTCTGAAATGATCTGTCATATCAATTCCTGCTTTCCCTGGCATGGTAGCAATAGAAGCAAACTCTGTTCTGTTCAAAACTAGTCCACAAGGACTAGAGTCATGGCATCCTCAGTAATATTTTAATCAAAATTATTAGTATTCTCTTACTTTTTGTTGAGCAAAAAGGAAAATTCATCTTGTTTACTGTTTTGAATTTGTTTGGGGTTTTTTTAATTAAGCTACAAATTCACTAAAGGAAATTAATAGTTCACAGATTACAAAAGACCGCATGTGTTTGCTGTTACTGTTCTCCAGACTTCTTTCCTTTATTGCATTCTTAGTCACCCATTACTGCTTTTTTCACCTGCTGCAAGCTATAAGTGAGAGGGTAGCAAATGCATGGCAACATATGCTTTAAAGTGTGCTATTCTTTCCTGTTTCAAGGTTTTAGAAGTAACTTTAATGCACATGCCTCCAAAATGCAGCAAGAAACCCAAAATAACTGTCTTCTTATCAGAAAAAAAACACTGAAAATTTTCTTCAGCTGAGACACTTTTCATTTAGGTATGCTTAAATATTACAGAATTAACACTGCATATAGACAACAAAAGGGTCACACACTCAATAGGAATTAAAAAATTAACATCTAGCAATGCAAAAAGTGTAAATGTTTGAAAAAGGATTGTGTCCAAACAATGCAAGGATTACGAGGAAAGAAACTTCTATGCCCATTGAAGGGAAATGGCATCGTATGCTGTGTGCAATCACTGCATATACTAGAGAGATATTTTATCTCCTAAATAATGAAGAAGGAGATTAGCTGTAGTCCTTGTTCATTGTTGAGAAAACTTTTCACAATTTTTTAATCAATGCAAACTTGTGCTTAGGAAGACAGGATAGTGTATGACAAATATTCCCTCTCCCTGCTGTTGAGCTCCTCCCTGTATTAATTTAGGTGGGGAGACTTCCCCTGTTTAAAATGTTTTTCATATCCATTTGCCTACTGAGGATAATCAGAGTGTGTTAGGATTGTGCATAGCCCTCACTCCTGGGGACAGGAGGGGCTGACAAAAGCCAGCGGAGCTATCATTTTGTAGTGGATTTATAAGTAAGATTCCTTGGACTCACTGCTGTTCATTATATATTTTAAAACTTCAAAGATGGAAATGCACAAAGCTAAGAATGGACATGAAGTACACCCAGTCACCCAGTCTTATCTTTGAAGTCATTGTGTGTCTATTATCATGCCCATACTAATGAAGTTAGCCAGACAGCTCTTCTGCCTGCAGCTGGAGGGCACAGATTGCTGGTGTAGCTCTCTTGGATAACTCCTAGTGGGGAGAAATGTGTGGAAAGCCCTGGTTTCAATACAGTGGTGAAGGCTATGGAAGTCATTACAATCAATTGGCAGAGAGGTCATTTTAATTTATAGTGAAATCTGAGAGGAAGCCTGATGCATTTACATGCTCACAGGGAGCCTTTTTCTCTGCCCAAGTGGCTGCAGCATGCTGTGTTTCTTAGCAGCATGTTCAGGAAGACTCAGAGTGGGAGAGTGAGCTGGAGTGAGCTGGAGAACACCTAGGCAATGGTCAGTGGAAGTGGAATGTAAATATGGAAGGCAAACAGTGCCACCCCTCACAGCCAGATATCAAACCTACAAGCAGCTATCAGCCCTCAGAATAAGCACTGCCTGTGGTAGTTAGTGCACAGTCCAACCACATTTTACCAGCTGAAAGAGGAAGAAAGGAGAATATTACTTTCTATTTCTTAATCTTGTTTCCTCAGATATGCAGGAGTTACAAGAGAAAGGGGTCATTATAAGATAGTCTTTGACCCACAATATAGAATAATTGCCCTGTTAGTTACAGTTGAAACTGGGTTCTGCTGTACTGTGTGGGGTAGAGCTGACTAAAATGTGTGCCTTCAGTCATTTGTTGACTAACCCAGTCTTTGTGGCCAACTCATGCACGTTCCACTGCAAATGCTTTTGATAATGCTGCTATAAAGGCTTGTGAATGTCAGTGTGGGAGGGCAAAATATTTTGAGCTGCTCAGCTTCACTTTATAAATATTTTTGGAAGCCACCAGTGTGAAATGCTCCATTCACATTCAGCACCGAAAAAAAATAATGGCTTCTTCTAAAACAAAGACACATCTGTCAGTGCAGTAGAGTATATGAATTTACATAATCTGCAGCACAGAAAAAGTACTTTCTCAAACAAATTAAGTCAAAGCAGGCAGAGAAAGAACAGCATGAAGCTCTCTATGCAATGTCAACAATAATTAACAGAGTACTTTGTAGTCTGCCAGTGCTTCCCGTGAATAAGGTACTCTCAGACATTTGGTATGAACAGTCTGCCCTCCTGTTTCTCTGCTGCAACCCAAAGCTGCAAGTCTTCACTTTTACTGGCTAGCCTGTCATTAACTTTTAAATGTTGTATGCCACCCAACATTTCCCCTTAGAAGGACAAAGGACAGAGGGCATGAAGTTTCTGTTGCAACTGCTGCTGGGATTCATGGGGCTTGCTTTGCCATATCCTACTGGGAAATTCAGGGAATTTGCTCTTTTCTCAGATACATAAAAAGAAAATTAAAAAGAAACAAACCCAAAAATGTGTCACCATGCACAGAACTTGTTAATTCCTTTATTCCTCAGTTTCCCTGTTGATACTTTGGGAGAAGGCAGCTTTTTTGTTTCCCTCAAATACGCATAAAACATTTGGACGTTCAACTCCTACTGATTCTCCAGGGATGCAGACTGCAGACATTTTGAATCATGGAGTCTCTTCTCTTAGGCTGCCCGTGCACAAAATGCAGAACTGATGTGAGGTTGCTTTTCTGCAAATAATAGTATTGTATTGCTCCTGTACCTCTGATTTAATCACACTGCCTTTGCATGTGCTTGCAGATTAAATTTTCAGTATTGCCACAGAGTGGGACACTCCTGACATCTTTCTCTCTTTGCAAATGGTAAAACTGCAGCCTTGCCTAAAGCAGAGGGATTTCCACACGTTTTGGTTTTTTTTTCTTTATAGACTAATTTTGGCTGATTTCTTCCACGTGTAAGAGTGCTCAGAAGGTTGTCAGGGAGACAACTGTTGACACAGCTTTACCCTGGTATTTGAAGGGCTTGGGCAGTTGAGTGCTTTTCAGCAGATTGTGCATTCGTGCAGATGCAAGAATACTGCAGACTGCAGACCTGACTTACTCAAGTGCTGGTCTGAGCTCACCAGCAAGCACTTCCTCGAAACTACAGCTGTAAGAGGAGGCCAGCATACCTCAGCTAGTGTTGTTTGAACTGGGTTGAGCAACAGAAAAAACCTGGTGACCAAAAGTCAAGTAGAGTCAGTGTGAGACACAGGACTTATTTGGAAGGTTGGCCTGCACTGTGTACATTGCTGCTAGTAGCTCAGCTGGTTGTTTAAACTCATCCAGACCAATATAAAACACTGTAATAATGCTTCGCTGATGCCAGCATCCTTTGTAAAGTACAGCCCTGAGCCCAGAAATTCCCATCAGCCTGCAGTCTGTGCCATTGCCT